GACGCTATTAGTCGACGCAGTTGGCATGAAGAGTAGATTATTTATCATAGGCGCATTTAAAGGGCGTATTGTGAAAGTTCTAACTATATTGGATGCGCTAGAATAGGGGCCGAATCCAGGTGGATAAACTGGATCACTTATCGACACTTGGACAAGGGGTGACATATTTGTATTTAGATAGTCACAGATTGAAGACGATGGAGCTTGTCCACTCATCCAAGTTCGTACATCTCCGTCATTTGTTGTCTTAATATCCTTACATCTTCTGTTAACACTGTTTCTTGTGTAATCATCTGGTTTTGAACCTCATCATTATCTGACTCAATTCCGTCTTTGTGAGACATTTTCTTTTAGCCTTTTGACCTTGTATTGTAGGAATGAGATGACAGCTTAACCACAAACCAACTACCTTAATTTAATTGTATGCATGGACGATAAAGTTTGTTAGGGTTAGACATTTCTTAAATTAGTTTTTGTTTTAAATGATTTGATAAAACACTGATCAAATTCGTAACATCCTTGAGATCTTGCATAAGATCATTGCATATTTTTCTAAAATTCAATAACTAAGTTTTTTCTTTTTAGAGCTTTGAGATAAAATTCTTTAGTTTTCTTTTGAATTATTGAAAGAAAATTAAGAAGAACTTATTTTTGATAAAGATTAAAGCTTATTGTTTTTTTTTTTGAACTTTTTTAGAAAGATTTTTTTGAATAAATATCACCGATCACAAAAAGGGTTGTCTACGTATCTCATCGGGGTGAGAATCAGGTGTGCGTAGTTCGTTAATTTTTTAAAATAAATATACTCCCTCCGTTTCACAAAGAATGACCTTCTTTCCTTTTTAGTCAGTTTCAAAAAAATGACTTCTTTCCTTTTTTGGTAACATTTTACTTTTTGTTTTCCACGTGGCATGTTTAAGACCACAAGATTAAGGGCAATTTTGTACATTTGACATAACTTTAATTTAGGACCACAAGATTCAAAAGTCTTCTTTAATTTCTTAAACTTCGTGCCAAGTCAAACCAGACCAATCTTTTTTAAACGGAGGGAGTACTTTACTTTTGAAACTATTTTTCTTTAGGTCATTTTATGGTAAAAATACAAAATTAAAACTATTTGAGATTTTACAAAGAATTGATATATTTATTAAAAAATTTAGGAAGATTTTTTTCAGTTTACTACTTTATCCTAAAATCGATCAATATTCAAATAGTATTTATGTAGCAAATAGCACATAGACTCAAAGCATGTGTTGAGTCGCATTAAATTAAATGTTCATGATGTAAACAAAGTGTATCCTACTAAGGATAATCATTATATGAGGCTTGTTCAACTAGATTTTAAAGTCCTTATGAATTTGGTGTCTAGACATGTTGTAAAACGAGCGAACAACTCGAGTTAGGGAGTAGTAATAACCGGTAGCAACGCTTTCTGATTTTGTGCATGGGTGCTACCCATCCTAAACAAGTGAATCTAAAAATCTTTCACCATGGACCGAAGATCCACTGGCTATATTGACACAAGTGCAATGCGCAGTCGCAATTCCCATTATAATATGATTGAAGACTGAGAGTGGTGCGCGAGACAAAAACAATTTATATACAATTTAAATAATATCAAAATAGTGAATAAGTAAACATTAACATATTAGGCCAACAAATAAAATATCCAAAAACATAAATAAATAAAAGTCATACATTAGTCAATATTTACAAGCTCGAATTTTGGTTATCGCCAGCGGAGTCGCCATCTGTCACACCCCTATTTTTCCCTCCAAATTAATTGTTTTGAAAGAAAAGAGTTTTTTTCAATTAAAGTGACATTTTTAAAAAGATATTATTTTATTAATCAGAGTCGCCACTTGAAATTGAGTTTTGGTGTTTCAAGTCACCTTATTTAAATCCCTAATCAAAAAAAAATTGACTTTTTATTTTGTTTGGTCTACTAAAACAGAGATCGAGTAAAAAATTATGTTGACCGAGGGAAAGGTAATAAACATCCCTCGAATTCCGTAGTGCTAACAAGGTCATTTTATTGACCTCTGTATGACTTGATTTAATTTTTGGATATTATATTATTAGCTTAATAATAAAAAAAAAATTATTTACCCTCATTCTTTGATTTATTTTAAACCTATTTAAAACTATCTTATTTTATTAGTATATGTCCATTAAATAAAAATATATATACGCGCATAAATTTACTCAAACAAAATAGAGTAAAATTAAGAGATTCTTTTTTTCCCTTTTTCTTTATTATTATTTTTTATTATTACGTTTCTTTTTCTTCTTTTTACCTTTTTATTATTTTATTATTATTATTATAATTATTATTATTATTATGCTTCCAATGCTTCATTTTTATTTTTTCTTATTTTTTGTTTTTGACACGTATTCTATTCCTCTTTTTCTTATATTTTTTTTTTCTACTTTTTACTTACCTTTTTTTAAAAAGTTCCGCTCCTCTTTTCTTTAAAAAAAAATAAATGTTTTTTTAACATTCTGCACGTTTTTGTTTCTTTTCACTTAACCTTTTTTTTTAATTACGTTTTCTCCTTCTTTTGTTTTTAACCTTTTAATCTTTTTTTTTTACGTTATTAACATGAAAAGAAAACCTACTAACTAAAATTAACATCTTTACTTAATGAATCTTTGTCATTAATTATTTTCATCATTTCAATTTATTAAGCCATACCTACACATATCATCATTAAAAAATATGAAAATAAGAATAGACTTGGACAATAGTGTTACTTAAATGTGAAATAAACTGTAGGTTGTTTAAACAGGAAATAAACTAAGTTTTATTATAATAACAATTTCTCATTAAGTCTAATGATATAAAAGATCTAAACATAGAGTTGATATGAAAAATTTGAACATACTTCATATTATAACATCAATGAATATAAATGGTTTAAACACATACGAAATTTAATAATTTCAATATATTGCAACCAATGCTTGTATAATCATGACATTAAACTATATAAAAAGGATTAGGTGTTACCTCTCGTGAAAATAAATTCAAAAAAAAGATCACGATCAAAATCACGAAAATAAACCTCAAACTCAACTTTTATTGTGTTGTTTTTTTTTGTGTGTGTGTTGGCGTGTGTTTACTTTGTTGTAGCGTAGAATGTATTCGGATATGAAAGTCATTTTTTTTGTTAGGAAAAGGAAATGTGTGCATGTGTTACTGGAGAGAAAAAGAAAATGTTTTGGTTTGTATATATGGGGATGCGTTTCTGATAGTTTTTTTTTTTTTTTGGTGTTGTTGGTATTTATAGGGGGTGTAGGAGTATGTGTTGTGTGTGTCGTGTGGGTAGTGTAAGGGGCAACGGGAGAAGTGGGGTGAAATGTGGGTGAGTGTGGGGGTAGTGTAGGTTAGTTTTACGTTACTTTTTTTTATAATATAATATAATATAATATAAGAATATTATTTAAATATTTTGTGAACTGATAATAATTATGATCAAGAAATACTAATTCATTTATTAAAACTTAAATTAAAATAAAACATATATTTTTGTTATTTTCAAATTTTTTAAAAATAAACTTACCAAATTAAGTCAAAATCAAAATATCTATGTTCGGTCAAAAATTACGTGTCTACATAATCTTCGTATATAAAAGAAATAAAAATTATGTATTCGCCGTATCTTAGTGCTTGATTGCATGTATTGGTGAAAGAACTTTCCGGAGATTCTTTATACAAATTATTGTCTTATTGTATCAAAGATCTAATGACTTATTTAAATAATGGAGTACTATTAATTATCAATTATGTATGAAATACATATTTTCATAAGACTAATGTTATAATTAAAATATGTTTGCATATTAATAATAAGAAATTATTTTCTATGTTAATGTAGTATGTCTGGCTGAGTTACGTATCTATTTTTCTCCTGCCTATCATCATTAAGGCGTTAAGTTCACCATTCTAAGAATTTCCTTTCAAATAAATAAATAATTATGTTTTGTTTTAGATTGCACAAATTCTGAAAAAACTTAATCTTCTCATAATGTAATAATTATGTTTTATTTTAGATTGTGCAATAAATTAAAGTGGTCGTTATACTAAGCAATAAATAATATGTGTACTTAGTGCAATATAGTTTGTTAGTCAAAGTGGCCAAACTAGAGAAATTAACGTCTACACATATAATATTTATGATCACTTGATGCATGTATTATGTTTCTATAGTTTGTTAGTCACCAAAGTGGTCAAACTAAAATGTATAAAATTATTCACATGCACAAAATTTTATGATATTATGTATGCATTTGTATTTATATAGTTTGTTAGTCACCAAAGTGGCCAAACTAGAGAAATTAGCGTCTACACATATAATATTTATGATCACTTGATGCATGTATTATGTTTCTATAGTTTGTTAGTCACCAAAGTGGTCATACTAAATTGTTTAAAATTATTCACATGCACAAAATTTTATGAGATTATGTATGCATTTGTATCCATATAGTTTGTTAGTCACCAAAGTGGTCAAACTAGTATGGTTAAGAGATATTTGCAATCATAAAATTGTCATTTATCTATGAAGGTTAGTTAAATGCTTATATATTGAAAAATAAATAGATAAATTGACTTTCACTATTACTAGAACTTATAAAGTTACCCAAAGGTGAATTTATCATTCTATGAATAGTGAAAATTATGAGGTGAATTAATATTTTTTGTCAAACATATATTGTATATCCAAAGATGTCGTAAATGTTTGATTAAAAATATTCAATTTTAAAGATAAAAATAACATTTAAATTATAATAATGTGTCGTAGTATACTAGTATCTACCCAAAGGAGAATTACAATACATTTTTATCATTTTACTGAATTCACATTATTTTCTTATTTGTGAGCATGTATATCTATTTTGCAGTTATTCCTCTTCATTCGCATGTTTTGTCTGTTACTGTGTTCAAAGGATTGAAATTCTCTGAATGACATGAACAAGTCCAGTTTTACTTAAGTGCGATGGATCTTGACTTGGCTCTACTGAATGACAAACCTACTTCCATTACTGATAAGAGCAGTGAGGATGAGAAGTCTTTTCATAAATCATAGAAGTGCCCTAACAGATTGAGTCTTATGTTCATGCGAATGACTGTTGCTAACAATATTAAAAGTACTATTCCACAAACATAAAGTGCCAGGGAATACCTGAAGTTTGTGGAAGAACGTTTTCATTCTGCTGATAAGTCTCTCGCTGGTACACTAATGGCTGAACTCACGACCATTAAGTTTGATGGGTCGAGTAGTATGCAAAATCATATCATCAAGATAACCAATATTGCAGCAAGACTTCGGACCTTAGGGATGAAAGTGGATGACAACTTCTTGGTTCAGTTTATTCTGAACTCATTGCCTCTTGAGTATGGACCATTCCAAATTAACTATAACACTATTAAGGATAAGCGGAATGTTAGCGAATTGTCCAGCATACTTATTCAAGAGGAGTCAAAACGTAAGAACAAGGAGGTCATTCCATTAACCTCATGGGTCAAGGAGCTGGTAAAGGATTTAAAGTGAAAGCCAACAAGTTTAAGAAAAATAAAACACCTGTTAAAGTTCCACAAGATGCTCATAAGGAACTCATGGCTAATGTGTGTCGTTTATGTAAAAAGGAAAGACACTATCAGAAAGACTGCCTGAAACGTGAAGCTTGGGTTGAAAAGAAAGGTACATTTAGTGCCTTTGTATGTTTCGAATCAAATTTAATAAAAGTTCCTAATAATACTTGGTGGCTTGATTCTGGTGCAACTACTCATGTATCCACCATGTTGCAGGGATTCACTACGATCCAAACTATGAATCCAAATAAAAATTTCTTACTCATGGGAAATCGCATGAAAGCTAAAATTGAAGGCATAGGGACTTATCGTTTGATCTTGGAGACTTGACATCACCTTGATCTATTACAGACTCTTTATGTTCCTTCAGTTTCTAAGAATTTGATTTCTCTTTCAAGACTTTATGTTTCTGGATTTGATTTTAAATTTAGACATAGTTGTTTTAATTTATATAAGAAAACTATTTTTTATGGCTCTGGTGTTCTTATTGATGGTTTATATAGATTAAAACTCAATAATAATTAGACGTAGTTCACTAAATGAAAGTTCTTCTTATTTGTGGCATAAACGTTTGGGTCCTGTATCCAAAGAAAGATTAAAAAGGATTGTAAAGAATGAGATTCTTCCAAATCTAAATTTTATTGATCTTGATATATATTTGGATTGCATTAAAGGAAAACAAACCAAGCATACCTAGAAAGGTGCCACAAGAAGCACTCAGCTTGTTGAAATTATACACATTGATATTTGCGAACCCTTTGATGTTCCATTTTTAGGTGGAGAAAAATATTTTTATCACCTTTATCAATGTCTTTTCACGTTATGGATTTATCTATTTGTTGAAAGAAAATCTCAAGCAGCGGACGCTCTCAAAGTGTACATTAATGAGGTTGAAAGACAATTAGATAGGAAAGTGAAAATCATTAGGTCAGATAGAGGTGGTGAATATTATGGAAAGTATAACGAATCAGAACAATGTTTAGGTCCATTCGCAAAATTCCTTGAGAATGGTGAAGTAAGTGGGAGTGTTGAATGACAAAGTATGAAAATTAATGAGGTAAGGGTAAATATTTCATTGCCCATGAATGTACCTACTTCCGCACCAATCACAAATGTTGTTCCTCTTGTTGAAGAACAATTTAACAATGTTGAACAATATTTGGGTGAAACACTTCAAGAAGGAACTAACTCACAAGTATCTGACGCAAATGAACTACAAACAGTGCCATTAAGAAAATCGGTCATGATTTATTTGCAAGAGTCAGATTTTGACTTTGGAATTAACAAAGATCCGGTTTCATTTTCACAGGCCATAGAAAGTGTTGAGTCTGATAAAAGAATTGATGTTATGAATGAAGAGTTAAAATTTATGGAATACAACAAATTCTGGGATCTTGTTCAATTACTAGAAAGTTCTAAAAGAATCGGGTGTATCTGGATCTTCAAGACCAAACGTGATTCTAATGGTAATATTGAATGATATAAAGCCAGACTTTTTGCCAAGGTATGCACTAAAAAAAAGGAATTGAATATAAAGAGATCTTTTCACCGGTCTCAAAGAAAGACTCATTAAGAATTGTTTCGGCTTTGGTAGCTCATTATGATTTAGAGTTACATCAAATGGATGTGAAAGCTCTCTTTCTTAATGGAAACCTTAAGGAGGATGTTTATATGGACTAACCAGAGGGTTTCGAAATTAAAGGAAAATATCAAATGGTGTGTACGCTAAAGAAGTCAATAGATGGACTCAAACAAGCCTTACGATAATAGTATATAAAGCTTAATGATACCATATCATCTTTTGAATTTAAGGAGATTACCGTTGATCGGTGTATATACCAAAAGATCAGTGGGAGTAAGTTTATATTTTTAGTCATATATGTTGATGACATTTTAGTTGTTGCTAATGATTTAGGCATATTGTGTGAGACGAAAGACTTTCTCTCTATGAACTTTGAAATGAAAGATATGGGTGAGACATCCTATGCGATAGAGAATATTCTGTGATAGATTACAAGGATTATTGGTATTGTCTCAAAAGGCTATATCGAAAGAGTTCTAGAGAAATTTAACATGAGCAATTGTTCAACAAAAATAGTTCCTATTCAAAAAAATGGGACAAATTTAATCTCATGCAATGCCCAAAGAATGTTGTAGAACGAAAAAAAAATGAAATCAATTCATTCATCTTCTAATGTTGAAAGTTTGATGTATGTTCAAACTTGTACAAAACCGGATATTAATTTTGCGGTCGGAATGCTAGGAAGATATCAAAGTAATCCTAGAATGGATTAATGAAAGACTGCAAAGAAAGTTTATGGCATGTTATGAAGCCACAATTCATGCATTATGGCTGCGGAATTTCATTTCAGGACTTGGGGTTATCGACACCATTACCAAGCCGCTGAAAATTTATTGTGATAATGTGGCAACAGTATTCTTCTCCAAGAACGATAAGTACTCCAAATGTGCCAAATATATGGAATTAAAGTACTTTACTGTTAAGGAAGAAGTTCAGAAACAAAGAGAATTGATCTCATGATTGCAGATCCGTTAACAAAAGGCTTACAATCAAAGACATTTAAAGAACATGTTCAAATAATGGGTCTTGGTTGTACTTATTATTGATACATTTATGATATTTTTACACTCTGAGCTCATATTATGTGTTTCTGATATACATTAATGAACTTCTTGTTTCTCATAATGGTGTATACATTATTGTTTTGAGATATTACAATATAAGTCTCTATGAGACATTATTATGGACCATAATGTTATATGTTTTTATAGCTTATGAACCTAGTATGATAAGTTGCTAATGTAGTAGTATATGGAAGGAAGTATGTAGCTTAAAATTTATGTACAACCGCCATAACTCGCATTAGTAGTTTGTTATATTGTGGTATGTATGATGGACATTATAGAAGAGATTTATTATACGCGCAACTAATGTTTATGAAATATTAATATGGTCATTGGCCAAGTGGGAGAATGTAAGAATTATTATTAATTATTATTAATTATTTCTTACTTATAGCCCAAGTTTACTTGTAACCCAAGTAATATCATAAATAATATTTAATAAGGAATTAGATCTTGTCCGTACATTGGTTACTTGATGGACGTACCAAATTAAGTCATAACCTCTATAAATTGGTCCTCCCTCTACCCACTAGGGTTATCACATATTATCTACAATAATTTCATCGCTAACGGTTGTGGTAACATAAAGGTAGGGCAAGGAGGTAGAAACCAATTTACGACTAACGCTTCTGCTTCTCTCTATGATGATGTCTTCCGCATCAGGTATGTGCCCCTAACAATCTCTATGTAAGATTATCGTGTTCAAAATCCTGATATTATGTATTAAAGTATTTAATCTTACATGATCCACAAGTTCAACTTATCAAATAAAACTCTCGTAATAAAACATCTCATAGAAGTTCAACTTATCAAATAAAACTCTCGTAATAAAACATTTCATAGAAGTTCAACTTATCAAATAAAACTCTCGTAATAAAACATCATAGAAGTTCAACTTATCAAATAAAACTCTCGTAATAAAACATTTCATAGAAGTTCAACTTATCAAATAAAACTCTCGTAATAAAACATCTCATAGGCTAACAAGACGTACAAATATGAAAATATTGAACAAGATCTTTAGTTTATATATATTTATTTATTGAGTAAATAAATGTAAAAGCTCAAGTAGATAGTATAGGAAATGTCTGCAATTTATGTTCACCTTATTGAAAATAAAAGAAATGAATATAGAGTATGGTATAATGGTAAGTTACTTCATTTATATTTGAGTAAGATTAATCTTGACTAGAACTGAACACTGTCTATTTGTTCCTTGTGTTGTCAATTCAATTTATACCCAGTAAGGCAGTGAACAAATATTCTGTCTTATTCTAAATAATGTTTATAAAAATCCAATAATCAAATTTTTACGTCAGTATAAATCAGTGTCCAAAGGGATCATTTTTTTAATTTGTTAGTGAAATTAGGAAATAATACCAGAATAAATTGTGGATTTAATTTATTTTATGTATGACAGTACAGTTCTGATTTAGTAATTAGTAATTCTGGAATTATTTTTTATACCATAAACGTGATATTATTCCTAAACGTACTACACTATAGTGTAAATAGTAATTATTTTGGAATTATTAATCTTGGGATAAAATAAAACAATAACACATTTGTCCTTCTTCAAATACATATTTTGTATTAGTACATGTAAATTAGTTTAAAAGTTTGTCTATTACTTGATATTTATATAATATCATTTTTATTCATTTTAGTTCAATGAATCAAACATTTATCAAATAAAAATGTATTTATTAGCCAATTAATCTCATACTGTAATCTAGGCATTCTAATACTAGAATAACTTCTTCAAATATACCCTAAATGTAAGAAACTTTTACATTAATTATCAAACTACTTGTATTTATTGTATTTGTCGCTAATAATTTATTTTGTTTTAAAAATTACAGATTTAGTTTTAAAATTTTCACCTATAAATATATTAAGTAAAATTGATAATATAGATCATTATTTACACCAATAATGTATGCGATTTAATAACATAATGCATTTTCCTAACAAAGGTCCATGACCAATATAGATTATGGTGAGATGACAGAGATCATTCATCCAAAGTCCAAACCTTGAATAATAAGGCAGGTTAGGATTGTTGTCTTCAAAAATAAATTATGTAATGTTTATAAATTTAATTACATCTCAATATAAAAATTGGATGAAAATAATAATTTATTCATTTAAAAAAAATTGACATACTTTTCTTTTTAATCAGTTCTAAAACAATGATCTCTCTTGTTATTTTTGGCAATAAATCATTTTCAATTTTCCTTATTATATATTTAAGGTCACAATATTAAAAGATAATTTGATGAATTTTATATAGCTTTAATTTAAAATATTAAAATTAATTTTTTTTTCTTTATTGTGTTAAATTTCATATCAATCATTCTTTTAAAACGGAGAGAGTAAATAAATGAGTAAAAAATGAAAAAACAATGGTCCATGCTCTTGTCAAAATATCAGTCCATTGAACCCACCATTTTTGCTGGTAGAATCTGCCGTCCACGTGGTGCAATCGTTATAGAGAGTCTAACGGGATTCTCTAACCATTGGACCACGTGTTCTTCTTCTCGAACATTCTCCACTATACACCTCCCACAAGACTACCGTAATAGGCCTACGTGTACCTCTTTTGATACCATACTAAACACTCCCTGAATTCTCATTGGATAGTACAAAACCGGGCCCCATCCTAAACCCCTCAGCCCAATAGGTTCAGTCACATGGGGCTCACCTTAACATAGCGCCACGTTATAACATTAGCCAATCACCTCTCTGCGCTGTTTCACCTCTCTTCTCCCACGTGTTAATCAACCCCCTCACACGCGTCCTCCCTTCTCTCTTCCCACTTATAAATTCACCTCCCCTCCTTTTACTCCTCTCTTCATTCCTATCAATATCAAAAGTTTATTACTCTTACAACAGAAATAGAAATCTCATTTTCCTAAAACTCCATAAATGGATGGGAGGGGAGGGTGCTGTATTGCTAGGTACGCAGGAGGTGCGTACGATATGTCAAAAGTGGATAGGATAATGCTTAAATTCAGACCTATCGCACCTAAACCAGCAGTAGCCGGTAGTTCTGTTTCCGGCACTACTACTCCACCACAAAAGACTGAGGTTCCGGTTCGTACTGGACGGTGGAAGAGAAGGTATGTTAAGGAGAATAATAAAAATAGTAATAATAGCAAGAGATCTAATAGCGGGAGTAGTCCTAGTGGTAGGAAAAGGAAAGCTCCGTCGCCTGAAGAAAATGAATCCAGTGGGAAAACGGTGTCTGGTGGAGAAACGGTAGTAACTCTTCCGTTGTTATCGGAGAGCCCTGAAAGGAAGGATCGTTCGGTTGACGTAGTGAAAAAAAATGCTCCGATCTGGTTGAGTTTTGGTGGTAACCAAGAGAATAATAATGGTCAGTTGCAGGGGTGCGGAGGAGTGATGTTTCCTCAGCCAGTACAAGTAGTGGGGTCATGGGTAAAGGTGGAAAGCGTGACAGACGCGTGGGTGGAAGGGTATGGGCTAGGACGTACGGATGAGGAAAAACTGATAAATCTGGAGCGGGACAGCTGTCCAGGTTTTATATCAGACGGTTTAAACAGAGTAAGGTGGGCCAACAAGGCGTATAAGGCGATGGTGGGTGAAGGGGCAGGGGAAGTGGTGGTTTGGCTGGTGATGAAAGATGATGTACGGCTGCCGGATAACAAATCCACGGCGGCGTTCACTTGCCGGGTTCGGGTTGTCAGATGCGGGAAGGAGAAGAACTCATTGATTCTTCCGTGTGATGTGTGGAGAATGGACGGCGGAGGATTTGCATGGAGGTTGGATACAGAAGCAGCTCTTTCCTTGGGGCGGTACGTAATTAAAGTAATATCAACTCCACCTGAAGGGTAAAGGAGTAAATCTATATGCCGAACCACTAATAATACTTGCCACCTTGTGCTTGTCTACGTATAGAGAACATGCACACTTGCATGTGCTTTTATCAGAAGAAAAATTGTGAATATCTTTATGGGTTTAGAACTGTTCTTTTTTATTTTATTTTTCTTGGTTTCTTCGAGGTGGGGTTTGGTTGGCGGCGGATTTACTTATGCCTAGTTGTGTGGTTTATGGAGAGATCGATGTTTGTTAGGGATACTTGTTGAAATACAGTTACTACTTACTACTAGTAGTCGTAGTTGAACCATGGAAACAGATCATGATCTTGTAATCTGACTTTGGGCTTTTGTTTTCCTGTTTTCTAATTTAACATCTCACATATTTTGTTCAACTATTTCACACAATCAATTTATCATTCTCCTTTATTTCATATTTTTTCAACAAATTGTTTGTTCGAGTATTATTATTATTATACGTTTATATGATTTGGGCAATCCTCTTATAACTTTTTTACCATCTTCGCATCAAAGTTAATTTATAAAAATTAGCAACATTTGTATGAAGATAGACCAAAAACAGAACGAAAAAAGTAGTATATAATTAATTTGATAATGAAGATAGGTTGGAGGAGATTGGAGGGGAAAATGAACGTGGTTGTTCCTGTTAGGGGAATGTATGGCAATAATCCGGTGGTAATGAAATTTAATCCAGTTTAAAGTTGAGTGGAATCTGAGGTTATATTCTTGAGTTAAATAGTCTGTATTGACGAAGCCTAATTTGAAAGAATTTTAAACTAATCAGAGAAAATACATAATTACCCATTGAACTTGTACCTTTTTTGAAGTAGACATCGTATGCGGATTTTATTATCCACGAAACTATTTATATTCACAATAAATAAACCTTTTTCAGCCATTTTTATTGCAATTGTATTCTCACGAAAATTGAGCGGGTGAAGGAGTAGTATTACAGCCCCAAAACAGTGTTAAAATACCATGTGGCATTTTTAATTTGATTTTTCTAATTAATAATTTAGACCCATCTTTCCCACATCACCATTAATAGCCTTTTAAGAAGCCACCGAAAATTAAAAATCACCATTATATCTCAAATTTTGTATTTTAAAATGCGATAGGTGATGCTAATAGATAAAGAAGGTGATTTAAGGTGAAGATGATGATTTAAATTTTAATTTGATATAACTTCTAATTTTCATATTTGATTATTTGTCACGATGTAGTAGTGATTAAGTAGTGCAATGATGGAGTGTTGTCACTATGATTTGTGGTGGTGGAATTCAAAAAACAAATTTAAGAAATCAGAGGCTAAGTAGAAATTTAAAAGAGAAAAAATTCAAAAAAGAAAAGAAAAGGAAATAAAATAGAAAATTAAAGGCAAAAATGAAAAAAATTAAAAGTTAAATAGTGAATGACAGGTGGTAGATTAGGGTTGGTGCGTGATTTGCACCTGCCTTATTTCAACTGGAATGACCGAAAAATGAGGTATATATGCTACTTTAAAATAATTTCGTCGTGGGTAATAAAACTCGCACAAATTTTAGGTGTCTACTTCAAAAACTGGTATAAGTTCGATGGGATAGTTACGTATTTTCTCAACTAATAATTATACATCTCAAATCTAATTATGTGTATTATTAAGAGTGGATATATAGAGGGCATGGACTTCGAAAATGGAAGTATTGGAGTATCTATCTTTTCACCTGTTTTTTCTTTTGCAAAAACTAAACCCCCCCCCCCCCCCGGATGACCGTGGTCTGAAATTTTATCAAAATATACATATGTACTCTCCGAATATTGTTCGTTCTTAAATTAAATAAGATAGGTGAATGTATAAAACTATTTATTATTTCGGTAGTTTTAAATTATATCATAAGTTGAAATTAAAAAGGAAGGTGGTATTGTTCTCCTCATCAAAAGGAACGAGGTATGTTGGGTTTTATACTCTTTTGTGAATGGAATACGCTGCGTGATATTTCTTCAAACTATATAATTATATATTATTATTGAAATGAAACGTATCATCGGATTAATTTGTTTAGTTGTGATGTGTTGGAATCCTTAACAAGAGTCTTCAATTTGAGTCATGATCTCATGGATATGGTCGCTTATTTTTAAATAGATTCTACAATATGCGATCTAAATTTAGTATGATCTTTAATATAGCTAAAACGTTGGGTGAAAATCTAAATTTAGTTGAATCTTCAATATAGACTACGAATAGGGTGAAAAAGAAACAAAACTTGTTGCTAGATCATACTATATTTTAGATTCAAATTAAGGAAGAAACAAGTTTGTTAAATGTTTTAGTGGAATGGGGTGAAAAAAGAAACTTCTTCCTAGATCATACTAGAGGTTGGATATGCATATTTTAAATTCAAATTAAGGAAAAAACAAGTTTGTTGTTATATGTTTTCAAAAAGATGATGTAAAGCTTGCTGAGTCCGAAAGTCAAAATCATGTTCAAATTCTTATAAAAAGATGAACCATCTTCTTTTCCTCCGCGCGATACTCTTCCACGTCAACGTAACCTGTAAAAGAGGATGCTGGAGTTTGATGAGTATGATAACGTGTCGGATGAGAGAGCATTGCAATTAAGATTTTAGCAGGCGACGGCCTGAGGAAGAATTCATTTCACATTCCCCAAAAGTGGGTATGGGACTTTTTCCACTGAGCTCGCTCTCTGCTATGGCCCAATGGCATGTTGATAAAATCTGTCACGGCTCTGCTAGCTCTTGAAAAGACTTTTTATCTGCTTATTGACTAATATAATTTATCGTAAGAAAAATTGAAAGACGTAACAGTAGCGGATTCGAAAGTAGTATTGCTGATCATGCGACAGGTATATATATAATTAACCCCTTCATTTGCAAGTGTCGTTCACTGGGGACTACATTTTGCATGCATTGCATCTCTCTATATTATGTAATGCCAACTCGATAATCGATATATATATATGGCGCTCGTCATGTGTAAAACTGTGGGGTAACTACGTTGTATAGCCCAGATGGGATTTACCAATTGATTGGTGTTCAGGCGGCGATCTAGATACATCGCAAATCTCTTATTTCGACTACGTGTCGCCTTTCGAATTAAATATACTATGTAAATTCAGTAGATACCCCACTAATTTTAAGCGGATAATTAATCTTTCATTAACAAAACGGTGCGTATGTATGTGCCTTACAAAAGATCACTTGTACGGTACCATTTACGGTTTGATATCATGATTAGAGTGTATACTTTGATGATATCATTAGAGTGTATACTTTGATGGTATAAATAAAACGGTGTGTATGTACATCTTATTCGTATTTCTTAAAATATTAAAAAAAACAAAAATGAAACTTGGCTTTAAAAGGATTAGCTTAGTACTCGTTTACATTACCCCTCTAGATCTGTTGTCAATTCCTCTTTTACTTAAACTCGATCCAAACATATTTTATAACTGAATAAAAGAGGAATTGAGTTTTCTTTTGATCCGGTATGGATGGGTAAAAAGTAGGTAAGATCATTTTTTGGAAGTCATTCTATATATATATAAAACAGAAAAAAAGTATATTACTTTTTAATTGCAAAATAAAAGAGTCATATTTCCTATGTTCTTTACCCTAGTTTATGTGGACTTTTTTTCTTTTCAATCTATTTGAAAAGGTACAACTCGTATTAGTTATTTGTATTTAAATAAAAACATTAAATTTATCAATTTTATTTTGTTTTAAAGTTAAGTACTTTTTTTTATTTTTTGTGAGTGATCAAATAATTCGTATAAATTAAAGGAAAAATTGTATATAATAGCAAACTATTAATTCAAATTAAATGCTATAAATATAGTTTGATTTAATTGTAGCAAACTATTGCTATTTCACCTCTCTCCTGGTGAATCTCGCTCGCCACTCTTGTTCTCTCCCTCACCTCTCTCATTTTTATACAAACGCCAGTGTATAAAGTGCATTTGTGTTTGTATAAAGCGAGAGAAAATTATATATATACATATATTTTCGTTCCCCTCTCCCAGATCTCGCTCGCCACTCTCCGAGATCTCGCTCTCTCACTCGCCTCTCTCACTTTATACAAAAAACGCAAATTGTATAAAATGTGTTTGTGTTTGTATAAAGCGAGAGAAAATTGTATATATACATATATTTTCGTTCCCCTCTCCCAGATCTAGCTCGCCACTCTCCCAGATATCGCTCTCTCACTCGCCTTTCTCACTTTATACAAAAACGCAAATGTATAAAATGTGTGAAATTGTATATATACATTTCTTTTCGTTCCCCTCTCTCCCCTCTCCCAGATCTCGCTCGCTCACTTACCTCTCTCACTTTATACAATTGATATTTTTGTATATGTATACCAAAGCAGATTATACAACTGTTTCTTTTGTATATGCATAGCGAAATATACATATTTATGTTTGCTATGGAGCGCAATTATGCAAACTTTGTTATAGCATACAAATATGAATTTTGTGTTTGCTATATGTGAAAGTTGCTCTAAATTAAAATAGAAAAAGTAATATAGATCCTTCCAATCTTCTTGGATTTGATCATACTGGGTGTTTTTCTTCATTTTGGGCTGCGGAGAGTTGGCTGGCAAAGCCCTCTATCGTTATCCACTAACATTGATTCGCCTAGTCGACACCTGTAATCTTGAATTATTTGTGTCACCATGTATTATAATAAAAATTATATTTAGATTAATAAAAAAAATAGCGATAATAATATTAAGCAGTGATTTAATGTCATTATATTTAGAAATACTAATCAAACTCAGCGCAAACTAGTGACTATGAATATACATATTATATTAATGACACACCTTTTTTTTTTAAACCTGAGGATAACCCGCAGCCGCTACAATCTATGCCACAACCTCTGCCCTTTGGGTGAGCACTGGGTAAACTCCCCACTGTGTAATAGCATGCAAACCACACAGGGGATGTAAACTACACTAGGCATGGGCTTTTCGACTCAGAAGGCATTGAGGAAATCTAAA